CCGGGCCGGCCCGGGCTGGGTTCGAGCTCCCCTCCGCCCGGCGCCCCGGGCGCCAGGCCCGCCCCAGCCGCAGCCACCTTCTCCGCCGGCTCCTTCTCTTTGTCTTTCTGCGCCTGCGCCTCTTTGGAGTGCCTCCACTTCATGCGCCGGTTCTGGAACCAGACTTTCACCTGCAGGCAATACAGAACAGAGGACGGGGCTCGAAATTAACTCGGGCTGGACCGGGATTTTCTCCACTCTGTAGTGGTTCCCCTCCCTGGTCTGCGATAATGCACTTTTAAAAAAGTAAAATATTCTAGTCCTCATGGATATAGAAATAAATGCATAATGCAATAATAATTAATATTTGGAGCGTATGCTTCGGAAGGATCATGTCTGTGTGTGATGTTAGTTTTAATCTCCTTTAAAATAAAAAATTAGAGCCGTTTTCTCAATCACCCAACCATCGCTGTGCCGAGATAACTATAGTGAGGACAGGCTTTATATCCCTTCAAGGATGGGGGCGGGGGGCGCTTAGGAGTGGGAGAAGGAGGAAGAGCGCGCTGTTGGTGCTTTTGGTAAGGGAGAGAAACGTTCACAATTGTCTGGGCGGCTCATGACGCTTGGGGAGCCTGGCCTTCAGGTTCAGTAAGTTTGGTGTAGTGGTTAAGGCACCAGGGCACCTTTCCGGACACAACCTGGAGGGTGGACTCGCTTTGCTGGGTCACCTCGCTTTAATTAGCCACGCAACCGTTCGGACCCCAGAGAGAGAGGGGGGCTCCAAAGTTTGATTCAGAATTTAAAGGTGGGTATATGCCCCCCTTTTTCATGCAAGGTAATAAAAGGAATCGGCTAAACCCGAATCCGAAGCGCTGGTTCACTATTTTGGCTTTGCTCGCACATTCTCGTTTACCGAGTCAGTGACATTAATGGACAAAAAAAGGCAGAGGAGAGGAAAAGGAAAATGCCTAGGATGTTCTCAAAAAAAGGTAGGTGTGTATCAAGGGGGAAGGGAAATTGCTGACCTGGGACTCCCACGGTTTCCCTTGCCACCATAAGTACATAATCTGTAAATTCTTAATCCTGCTGTTTCTAAGAGTGAGCCCCAGGCTCTTCCTGCAGAAATATTTGCAGGTAAAGTCACTGGAAATGGAGGAGGATGTGGAGGGGAGGGGAGTCTGGAAGAGATCCCCTCAACAGCTAATCCACCTCAAATTTTCGCTTCCTAGCAAAATTGAGTTCCTAAAAACTTTCAGAAAAAAGAAAGAGAAGAATCGGATCTTCCTTCACTCTCCTGCTACTTCTCTATTTAGTACTGTACAGCAAAATTAGATAAATTCTTTAATTTGTTCCAGAGGCTGCCACAAAATAGTGTATATCCTTCTGCATTTTAGACATTAAGATTACAAAATCGGTCAATCTGCCTAGTTCTCCTTTCATCCCATGTGTATGTTTTGTTAAAATCTGGGTGGTCTACAGGTGATGGAGGCTGGAGTGTTAGTCAAGTAGTCCAGGTTTTTTATTCTGGCAACTAACAGGGAATCCCCCTCAGTCTGTTTTTCTCTAGCGCTGGAGTTCCTTTCCTTCCAACAGGGAGGATCAAGTATATGTAAGCTGGAGGAACTTCCGAAGAAGAAGGGGGGGAGTATATTATGCAGATAACAGCTTGTCGCATTATACCTAGACAAATGCAAGACCTATAGTTATATCAAACATTTTTAAAATAACATTCAAACATTTAAAAACAAAATAACAATGATATTGCTTATGAATCTGCCTTTATGGCTGTCCTGTCACTTCCCTCGCTGCATTTGTATTTGTATTTTATTTGTTAATATAGAAAAATTATCCGTGATGATGATTTTAAGAGATGCCACCCTGACCGTAAATGTGCATATGTAGTTTGGTAACAGATGGCAACACTGATTCCAAAACAAAAGGAGAGATCAGGTTAAAGTCGTTGACTTGGTTTTCAAAGGAAGAGGTTAAGGCTACCTATGTCCATTTACTGAGGAGTAAATCCCACTGAACTCAGTGAACTTACTTCTCGGAAGACATTTATAGAATTGCACAATTTAAAAAAATCCCAATGAGTTCAGGAAAATTAAAATAGTGTGTCTGCTTACCCATAGTTCTTTTACAAATACAGTAAAGTGTGTGTGTATGTCCAAAGAAGAGGTACTAAAATAAATAAAAAATATAGCATATTTTCTGTAATTATATGCTATTTCATAAAATATTATTCTACTATCAAGAAAGTTTTCCACTCCTGCTCCACCTTTTCTTTATTGGAACCTCCAATATCCACCACCATTGATTAGCCTGACTGGGGCTGCTGGGAACTATAGTTCAGCCAGCCATTTCTAGAAGCTCACAGACTCCTCATGTCTATGATACGGTACAATTCCTCCGGATGAGAAATCAAGGTTTGTATAGTGAGAACATCTCTTTCTTTTCTCTGAATAAGGGAAGTCTTTTGAATCTTCACGGCTGCCAGGAGGACAATTTGGCAATTTCTCACAGTTGGTAATTTCCTACAGTTTCTCCACTTTTCGCATTAGTTAGGGAAAGCACCGGGGAGTTTTTCCTTCCTGTCTTTAGCCCACACTCGCCCAGAAAGGGCGCTTGTGAACATGAAGAAAGCAAGGAACCCTTCTCACCCCAACGCTACGCTATGGAAGACCAGACCTAGTGCACTGGGCAGGGAGGGAGAAAACGTGCATTTGTCCAATTTCTCCCACCGTCTCCTCTCCCCTTTCCTTACGCTTCCTTCCAGGATTCCAACAGAAGAAAATATATGTAGCTCAAGGTTGAACCCTGGAGTCAGCTCCACAGGATTAGGCTGGAGTCAACAGCATCCCTATTTTCGGTTCCCCTCCCAGCCCGTGGTCCCTTCTTTCTTGCTGGCATTTCCCGCTAGCGGCCAAAATAAACACTTTGGCTGTAATGACAGATCAATCTCGGGCTTAGTTTATGATCCTGCTAGAATTGTGTATATTTACTGCCTTGCCTTGTACTGTAGAAACAAATTGCTTGCATTGCACCCAGAGGTTTCCCTATGGGGGGGGGGGGGGGGAAAATGGGCAACTCAGGTTTTTTTTTTTTTCCC